ATGTGCAATAAATAAAAAAACACTGCATAAAATAATACAGTTATCAGCGGCAAGTATTAAGATTATGCGAATGAAATAATGACATTATAAATGGATTGGGTTGGACTGGATTATGTCTGATCAAAGGGCTTATGTTTGCAAATAGTGCAGAGTAATCATGCTTTTTTGAAAATTTATTAAACGTGTACATTTATGTAAAAAATACGATTTTCTGCACCAGTGGCAATAATGATATATATTTCTATTATCATATTTTTCAGAATTTAAAAAGGAGAATGTTTTATTAAAACACTATTTCGAGTAGTCATAATTGCATTTAGTACTTAAAATTGAGTGGGACCTTAGCTGTCAGTTTTTAAGAAAAATCGTAATTGCAGCCGAAGCGCACGAATAACACGTAGCATTTTTTAATTGCCAATATATATTCAAATTGAATGTCAGCATCGGCAGAAAATGTTCTGATCATCTAATATTGCCTGCAATATTTTAATAAGACTGATATCAATACTAGCTGTTGAAGTTAAGCCTCACTTCCCCCTCGAAGAGAAAACACACATTTTAAAATCTTAATGTAAGAAACATGCGAGGCTAAAATACCTTAAGCGAGTGCTCACATTTGCAGTGAAATATGTTAACTTAAGCAAGGGGGGAGATAGCAGTACACACTGCGGGGGGGGGGCAAGGGACAGTTCTGTATCTCACATTCTACTGGACAGATTGAAGAAATTCAAATTGCGTTTCTCATGTCTCGAAAGCGCGACTTAGGATCTATGTTGGATTTATATATAGCACTGTTCTAATAGAGGTATTTTGACACAAGAATCGGACTTCTTCTGAAATGACATGAAATTTTTTTCATATTTCGATTGTACGACTCAAATTATGCATAAATATTAAATTTTGTTAAATTTGGTGCGAAATTTACAGAGAAAGTCAAAAATTTATCTTGGTGCATTTTTTTCAGTTTGCGCGAAGAATAATTCACTTGGCGAACTTCTTAATTTGTAGCAACCTATTTTCCTTTCCTTTTTACTTCCTTGTACGAATTAAAAAGGAAGTATTGTAATCGCGAAAACATTTAGGCAGCATATTTCAACGAAAATATCCATTTTGAACGCTTTCGAATGCAATTTAACGATGTTTTTGAGTGATATCTGTAAGTAAGGACAGAATAAAAGACTCTTTTCCTACAAAAAAATTAAAAAACTGCTTTAAAATGAATTCTGAAGAGAATTTTTCGTGACATCTGTACGAACGTATGTACGTACGTATCTCGCATAACTCAAAAACGAGTAGCCTCAGAACGTTGAAATTTTGTATATAGGACTACTATAACATGTAGATGTGCACCTCGTATTTTGGTTTCAATCGGCCTCGCCAAACGTATATAAATATATTTATAAATATATCCACTCTGTTACCCGGCTCAGTGATCTGTTTCTTTACTCTTATATGTTTGTAAATTGTACATTTTTTGCTTTAAAAATGATTGAATTATGTTGTTCTTATCTTCCGGTTAAGGTTTTTATGCCTTTAGTAAATCTGTATGCAATATTTTTAGAATTATCAACAATTTAAAATTTGTTTAAGTGCCGCTAAGCCTAACAATTTTTTAGATGGCGGCCATTGCTTGTTTACATTTGAAACGGCAGAGTAGTGAATTTGTTGCCAATCTAGAGAAACGTAGCTTCGCAACAACTAAGATAAAAACGCCTTCATTTATTATTGCGATTTAAATCATGCTTAATCCTTTCTGGAATTTTTTCGAGGAAATAAGTGTTTACGATTTACTTAATTTTTAATAATTTAATTTTTAATAATTAGTAATTTAATTTTTAATAATTAATAATTTTTAATACAGATATTTCGAGTTTTTATGTATTTTTGCCTTGTCGCGAAGTGAGAACTGAATTATTTGAATGAGAAATACTCAATCGTCTGTGAAAAACTGTTTCTTTTATGTTTTGTTTGCTTAATTTCTTTTATACATCGTTCTAGTTTTATTATAGTATTTGAATAGAACATGTGGCAACAATTAGATAATTCTTTAAATGATATAAATTTTGTGCATTCTGAGTTATAATATGAACGAAATATAATACTGTTAAGTGAACCTAGCGCCAGAGTGTCGCTATGGTAAACAAATAGAGTGAATTTTAAAGAATGCGTTTATTCTATTGTGGTTATGCGCTGTCGGCGAAGTAGATTTAATTAAATCCAATAAGTTTAAAAGAAATGCAAGATAAAATGCGTATAATTTAATATTCCGTACAAGGAGGTCATGTGGTGTACACATCAGATTTTTTTCATTGTAAACGAGCGGAAAAAACGCTATCGTCCATTATTTCAAATAATTTTAACAAAGTGCTTAAACCACATTTGGCATTGTTATCGCTTATAACAAATATGTCAAATTTCAAAATGCGCCAATATGTAAATTCACGTATATCCTAGGAAATTTTGAATAAAAAACTTAAAAATATAAAATTTAAAAATAAATCATAAAAAAATGGATGAATTTGACTTAGAATAAACCTAAATTGTGAATTCTGAAAGAAAGAATCAAGTACGTTTAACAAAAAAAAAAAAAAAAAAAAAAGATATTAATAAATATATATGAAATTCAATTAACATTGAGGAGCTAAAATTTTGAGAGCTACGTTTTTAAAAACTGCGCGTGCGGTTTTTACAAAACTTGGCAGTGTGGCATAATTTTATTCGTAGAATCGAAATATGGAAAAAAAAAGTGGCATGTCATTTCGAAAAAAGTCCAATTTTGTGTCAAAATACCTATATTAGAACAGTGCTATATATAAATCTAATATATATCCTAAGTCGCGCTTCCGAGACATGAAAACCACAAGTTGAATTTCGTCAATCGACCCCGTAGAACGGGAGATATAGAACTACCCCCTTTTTTTTTTTTTTCTCCTCAGTGTACGTATGAGTTTGGCCATCCACAGATCTGAAAATTTATCGCATGGTATGTTTTTGATTGTGAATAAAGTAAATAGTACGTAAGATATAGTACGTATAAGTAAACTGTTACAAAATCCAAATTTAGGGAAGCTTTTGGGGGGAAGTCAAACTTTAAATGTATTACCCCCAGTGGAGCTTTTAATAGTTAATTAACATTCGTATTTAGCTATGTTAGTGCAAGATTTTATATCCCCATATTAATTTTTTTCATTTCCTTCCCCCCCCTCCGTTATAAATATATGTCTTAAGAAATATATGAAGGAAAAATATAATTTACAGTTTTAATGAAATTAAAATATTATCCAAAATATTTTTATCAAATTTCTGTACCGTATATATTATAAATAATTTGCTAGCCTTTTTATGTTTCATTTATTTCCTTTAATTTTCATGCTAGTTATTTTAGTCATTTGCTCATGATTAATTTATTATTGTTATTATTTATATATATGACTTTTGCTATTTTATTTCATTTGAATTTCTTATTTTTAATAACTTGGTTATGCTTGTTGTTCTTATTTTTAATAAATTGCATTATATGCAAAGTTTTATGAGTTATTACCAATTCCTTCGTCTACTAGGGTTTCTCTGAATTTATTCTCAAACTACTAATTGCGTCTGGCAGTGTTAGCTGAGTTTAATTGGAACGTTTATGTAAACTAAGTTTCATGTGTAAATAAAGGTTCCTTTTGTATACATTTAAGAGCATTTGTAAGGTAATGTCAACCTAAATAATGTTTGTATTATTATGTAATAAAATTCCACACAAGTCTTCGTGTGTTGTTCGATGAAGAAGCACCAAGAGAGAGAAGCTTTTTCAACATGATCCAGACTCTTTGAAAGAGTATTTATGATGATAAAAAGTTGTGGTATTGAGAATATTTGTAAAAAGGGAATCGTCATATTCCCTTGCAAAACCTTTTTATTTATCTGAAGATGGAATTTTCGGTTTTTAAAGGCCCATTAATAACCCAGTTTGATATTTAACTATTCACTTATCATTTCAAATTTTGCAAGACTGTAGAGGTTTTTTTGTAGCAAGAGACGTGAAAATATACGATGCATTCTCCGGGATTCGAACTACATACCTTCTGATTACGCGTTGGACGTGCATCCCATTACACCACAAAGACATGCGGAAAGGAAGGAGAAAATGCCTTATATATTATCCATTTTAAAGGACTACTGGAGGTGAGGGTACATAGTCGCAAAATCTTGGTGGTGACGAATTATCGTTTATCACCTTTTAGTTCGGGTACCACTTTGTAGAGTTTTTCGATGTCAGGAAACTGAAGAAATCCTCAGTGCTCTTTTCAGGATTCGAACGCGGGACATTCCGATTACGCGTAGGAAGTGCTTCCAGTGACACCATGAAGGCACGAGGAAAGGAGAGAGAAAATACCTCACAAGACTTAGTTTACTGTGCCCTTTGAATTTATCATTTATATTTTAATGAAATTGAATTTTCATTATGAGTTGCTTTTCATGTGCATTATGTACGAGGTAAGCATGTATAAAATTGCATGATTAAAAAAAATTCAAATTTGGGGGAAAAGTGAAAAGCAGTCTATGCACTGTATTTAAAAATTTTGAGAAATTTGCGATGAGATGGTTTCGTTTGTATTTAGAAAAATAACATTTTATCTTAACGGCCAGGCGGTATAGTGGTTAGGGTAGCCGACTGCGATACCAAAAGACCCGGGTTCGAATCCCGGAGAAGGCATGGGGCCCACCTATTAGGTGACTACATAATAAAGTGACCACCACTTCTGGCTCTAGTAGTGGCCAAGTTGAAGTCATCTGACGGCCCGCGATTGGATATACTATTAAAAACATTTTATCTTGATTGTGTATTGTAATTTGTTTTCAATTAAAAATAAAGTCTTATAATTCATAGGCGGTTGCTTCTATGGGACTTTACAATTCATGCTTTAAGAGTCATATTGTTTGAAAATTATCTGTTGATGAATTGTTTTGATTATTTGATTTAATAATTAACTTTAATCTTTTTAATTAATTTTAATGAAGCATTTTCCTTTTGCCTGCGATATTCTGATGTTTTGAAATTTTTTCAGCACAACAAACCCTTGAAAAGGCCAGCCGAAGACAGCGTTGCCAATTCTACTTCTGACTGCCCAAACAGTGAGGACTCTGAAAAACCAGCCAAAATAAATAGGACGGAACCATTACAGGACAAGACAACAGCTTCAGATCTTCAAACCCAATCACAGCAAAATCATCCTAGTTTTTCAGTGCAGATCGTTCAGCAGTTTTCTAACGCATCACATAATCAACAATCGCAAACGGTCCAAACTCAAGTGACCGTCCAAACGCTTTCTAAACCACTGAACTCGCCTCTGCCTCAAACTTCTCAGACGATTGTTTCGAACCAGAAAACACAAGAGGTAAAATCAAATCAAAAAGATCAAACGTTAGGGCCCCAGTCTGTGAGTAACGTGGTCACAACAGCGAACAACGTCGAGTGCAAGCAAGAAAAGGACGCTGGACAAACGTCAGATCTCTGTCAATTCAAAAACAATAGAGCTTCAAACAGTAGTGGCGGTGGCGATCGTCTCTCGGACACATTCCCTAGTTTAGGTTTCACAGACGATTCCGGAGATGATGTCATCCATCCAGATATCCTTAAAGATCTCATTGATGATGTTTTTACCAACTCAGGTGATATCATGAAGGACTTCAACTTTGAAGATAGTGTAGGAAGCATGAAAGATCAGGAGGATGCGACGAAAGACATCATTGACTTAGTAAAAGGACCTTCTCCAACTCAATTAAGGACTTTTCAAACTGATAACTTATCGTTTGTAAATACCCAAGTTAATCAGCAGCACCAAAATGGTTCGTATTATTTTATTACGATCTAGTTTTAGTGTGTGTTAAAAATTGTTCTCAGAAGATTTAAAATAATAAGACTTTCAATGTTTATTTCTTATCATTGCCAATACTTTGGGACTTTAGGTGGTATGATTTTTGTCTGCAAATTTTAAAGTACTTTAAATTGTCAAACTACTAGAATTGTAAAGATAGATAAACTACTTGTTGTCCCTTCATACTTTCTAACAACATCAAACACAAACTCAACATCAAACACAAACTCAACATCAAACACAAACTCAAATTAAAAGCTTTAAAATAAAGCAAATTTTTAACATGTCAGTGTGAAGGTTATCCAGAACTAATACAGTAACAGAAATTAACACCACAACTTGCAAGAAAGTGTTTAACAAACGTTTAAGTCGAATTAAAATGGGAAGTTAATACGCACCTACATAAACTTTGATTCGAGCCTCAAATATTTGCTAAATAAATGTGGCTTGCCGAATCTAAAACTGATCAGTTGAAGTCAAGTAACAGGAAGGTGTTAGTGGACTAACTGGTCGTCAATGCTGCCAAAAATTGTCTTACAAATTCAAGAACTCTGTGTTTATTTACTTTAACTAATGTGCATTCTGGGGGGAATTGATGAAAGCACAGGCAAACTTATTAATTAGTATATGAACATTAATAAGATAACTGAGTTAATTTATATAAAATTAGCATAACTGAGTTAATTTACAGTTCTAGTAACAAAAGAGAAGGTTGTTTTATTTTTCTGTCTGGTACTCATCCAGGATAATACGAGAGCGGAATACAGTTTAGAATGTGGTACTCAGTTAAATTCCTTATTTGTTGCATTGCACTGCCCTGAATAAACGCTTTTCAAACTCATCAACTTAATTCTGAAAGTTGATGTAATTTCTTTGCGAAGCATCCTGACATGCACCACACCTGTTGAATAAAACAGAAATATGTAGTAGGTGGAAGATATTGTCTTCTCAGCTCACTTCAGTGTATATTATTTCGAGTTCGCATTCAAATTAACTGTAATTGGTATATTGAACACGTATGAGCATCAATTACGATGACAGTATTATTTTCCGTAACCTCTTCTACAAATCCTTTAATTCTCACGGTAACATCCTTCGTGGCAATAAATGGTAGTCCTTTTATGAAATTATTTTTACAAGGCTGTTGGAAGTTGTGGAGGAAGCATATATGGATTTTTTATATGTGGATGCACATCGAGGTAACTGCGTCTTTGAACCATTTTCTCTTAATACCTACCGTTAATGAATTGCTAATTCCATGTTACGCGCTTCATGGAATTTTATGTACCGTTTTACTTTTTTCCTTACTATTTATTAGCATTTTCGGGCAATTACTGCTTTGGAATTTTACCTAGCCTTCGCTCTGCATAAGTAATCATCTGAAAAACTGTTTCAGAGAGCCTTTCTGTTTTTCCTCTGGGAAATAATAGTTGACAGATCGAATATATAACCGGTTGCCATGTTGTGTATCAGAGAAACTAGAATCTACCGCATTCGGCTGATAATATGACTGATTGTCCATTACTTTCACTGTTACTATCATGCCGCAGGTGGTATTCACAACAACAACACAACGTGTGCCTTTTTCCACATGTACCAAGACGCTGAACAACTCTCGAGTAGTGGTTATGTCGGTGTACATTGCAGCAGAATCGTCTTTTGGCATTTCTGCGACAGCACCAGTTATTGTTTTACGGCATCAGTTATTGCACCACAGAATGAGGCTTATGATCGCACAACACACTCGTTATTCCTCAATGATGGATGTTTTGATAATACTAATTGTTGGCTCCACAGTAATGGTTGTTAACAGCGTGCTTTGTATCACGTTATTTGAGTAATAATCACTATAACGACCTGCAAAGTACTTGGCAGGCATACCACTTATCACACAGTGAACTCATACATCACAGATATAATGTATTTGTCAGATTGTAGTAATAAATATTGCGAGTACGCATTCAACTTTATTCGTCCTGTTCTGTCGGTTGCAGACGAATGGTAAAATGTTAAATTCCCCCCCCCTTTTCTTTTATTTGCATGCTTTCAGCTACTAAAACCACTTTCTGCGATTTTCATCAGTAGGTCCGATAGCTTTCCTTCTAAATGCAGAGAACTCAAGCAACCAAGAAATTCTCCAGTCCCAAAAAAAGCATCTTTATCTGTATCAAGCAGGGGCGCTTGTTTTTCGAATCAACGACTAATTGTTGGTCAGTTTTAAAGGAAAGCTTTACCCGTAGTGCATAGGAAATAAAATATCAGACATGTAATTGAATATGAAATAAAATTACAAATCTGGGTTTATGTATAAATCACGGCAAACAACTCGAGATGTAGAAAGAATTTGTATGTCTTTCAATTTCTACATTTAATTAGAAGTATTTAGATGGTGTTTTACGCTGGCCAAAATACATTAACCCGCAGTCTTTGAGTTCACGAAAATTGCTACCGTGCCATCTTTTAAACAATAAATGAAATTCAGTTATTATGAACAAAAAATGCATCTAGTTTAAATAAAAATTTATCAGTTCTTAGCTAAGTTATTTATTGCAAATAAATATTAAGTTGGACTTGTAGAATACCAAAATTGGGAAGTAGCTTAAATTTTAACGAAGTCTAAGCTTGTTTAGACTTATACTTCGGCCGTTAAAACTTCAGGCTGCTTTGAATGCATCACTTTTGATATTTTGGATTTAGGTAAAATCTGCCAAATGCATTTTGATATGACAGTGCTCGGAACTGCAATGCTTCTTTATTTGGTTAAAAGATATTTTTGCACTGCTATCGCCTAGTAGTTAAAATTGCTTTCCGATTGCGTAGTCTTGATTGTAGTATTGATGAGGCCGAAAAAGTTGGTGTATGGGTATTTCCACTATCTTCTCCATGAAAAACAATATATATCTGCTGGAAGGTGCTGAATTCTATCTGTCGACATATTTTTTTGAATATCGAAAAGTACCAAATTTTCACTGTAATTTAAAGAAAAGAATTCTGAACTTTCTGCGTGATGTATCTAATTAAAAGCAGCAGATATTTTTATAGATTTACTTTATATATTTTTTTTCACTTTCCAAATATACAGAAGATGTATAACGTTTCCATATTGGTTTAAATGTATACTTATTTAGTATAAAATGTGTTGCTATTCCACCTGGGTCATCTCTATTGATAATTTTTATTGATAAACAGTACTAAAATTTATGTGAAAACATTAAGATATTTTTATTTATTAAAACATTTTTGGATTTCAATATATTTCATAAAATTGTATCAATATCTTAGAATTTGATATATTAATAAAATAATTTACTTTTTTAAATAAAATATACCATTAGGTGATTAACAGGTTTGCCTTTTGGCATTCAATATAATTATATATGTATTAATTTTTGTTGCTTAGGTTTGTTCAGGAATATATCATCGAATAATGATACTACTATTGGTGTTATGTCGACAACTACATCGACATCTGTTACATCAGCTGCTACATTTTACAACACATCTTCTCAAAGACTGCCATCGTATGGAAATTCCGCTTTACCACTTCCCAGTGGTTTGGGGTTGGATTTCAAACTCACTGAGCCCAGTCCCGCTGCTTTGACATTGAAGCAAATGGCGGAACAGCATCAGAACATGCAGGTGAAATTCAAGATTCATTTAATTGATTTGAACATATGTAATTATGTCTCAGATGCTGTTGGTAATTGATAATATCGAAAATTATATTAAATGAAGTAACTATTTGAATAGTATATCACAGCAGATTTTCTTTCGTACCAAGCTAAAATGCTTGCTATTTCGTAATAAACTGGCGTCTGAGATTAAATTCTGCTAACTGTTTTAAGCGTATTATTCAAACCACTAAATGTAATATTTATTTACATATACTTTTAAAATGTATGATTATTAACTTCAATTATGATTGGGAAATTTATAATTTGAGTTCTGTACTTTCACATACTGGAAAAGCGATGGATTTTTATTATTTTTGATGCGTGCTAAAGGCATTTCTGTAAATATGGGCATACCATTTTTTTTTTAAATTTGTATCTGATGTGCACGTTTATAACAGAATAGAAAATGTGGTGGGTAATCACAAAAAAGACAGACAGTAAATTTTCGAGTTTGTTCGAAGAGTAATTTTAGGAAATTGTTTCGAAGAATAAATTTACGAATTGTTAAAAATCTGTTTCAAAGAGTAAATTTTCGTGTTAACTAATGTATCCCTTTCAGAAGAAAGCGAAACGTACCAATGTAATTCGATAGCTTGTCTTCACGATTTATGGGCTGATTATACTAAACCAAAGCATGTCATGATAAAGTAGGTCTATCTGCTTTGTGGCACATCAGTTGATTACCTTATCCAAATATATCCTATATATTATGCTATTTTATAATAAAAGTAAGCTACACCGAGTACCATTATATAAAAGAGTGGCAATCAAAGGATTCCATCCATTATAGAGCCATAGGCTATTTAGAAACAACGTCAGTCTGACATTGCAGTATGGCTAAATGTCTATCGTTTCATAGTAAACCGGTAGTAGAATCAATTTCTAACTACTTTTTCAGCTTCTCGAAGACCTACCGAAGGTAAGTGAAGAGTTACCATTTCTGCAGATCATCGGTATTTTCCACTTAGTGCCCGTCGCAAAAAGACTGCAACTCCATCTCAGCTTATATCCGCGGTTGTTTCTGCTTCAGGAAGGATAATATCAGCCGCGATAATGCGCAGAATGCTGCATGAAAGAGTTCTGTTAGGCAACCGATACAGTGCGTCCGCGCTTACCTTCCGCCACTGGAGGGAGCGTTTAAATTAGGCACATAGTCATGTAAACTGGACTGACAAATCGGTGAAGGTCTGTCTATTCACTGATCAGTCCCGCTTTGTTTCACAGCGTGGTTCGTGACGTAGTTACGCATGAAAGAAAAAAAAAAAAAACCCTCGATATGTTCCATCTAGCATTGGGAAAGGGATACCTATGCAAAAGGTAGTATTCTTGTATGGGAAAGAATATCTTTAGGTTGAGTGCCTATACGTAATATCACGTGGACCTCTCAATGCTCAGAGGTACAGAGACGACATAGTGGATCCTATTTTTCTTCCGTATACGCCTGCACTTGGCAATGCCTTCATTTTTCAAGCAGATAATGCCCACCTTCACACTGCTCGCCTCGTGCACCAGTATCTTGGAAAGAAACTATATCCAAACGGAAAGGCTAATATGCTGTCTCAATCTCAAAGGCTTTGGGATGTGTGGGACGCCCTCGACAGGCATACTGCTAGCCTCCAATCCCCTCACCAAACGCTAGGAATTGATCCTCAAACACTGTGCAAAAATTGTGATTTTCATATAACGACATTATCTCAAAGCGTACCGTATCTCCAACAAGGACTATCAGTATGGAGTAATTACTGGTTGTTCATTTCTAGAACTTAACCTGTGATAAGTGTCGCAAAAGGAACTGTGACACTTCTACCCAATTCTTCCCATCTTTTTGAAAGACAGTGGTGAGGTGCTGTAGCTCATACTGTGGCGGGTTTATTTGCTCGACGAGACTGAAAATGCTGTATCATCCATCATACTCCCTGGACTTGAACTAATGTGAATGTGCTTTGGTACCTCAGAAAAACCTCATGGCATTCGTATCCGAACTGTATTAGAGATTTTGTAGACAGGTATAGGTTGAAGCATATTAGAAGAAGGAGGACACGTCCACGTTAGATAGGAAGTTTAATGCGAGTAGAAGTCTATGCAGAAAGATATTGCGGGTAGAATAGCTATTCCCGTTTTACTGCAGAACTTTTCAAATTTTGCATCCAAATCATTTTCAACGACACATGAATGTTTAAGTATAGCTAATACTGCAATATAAATTTTAATGTTTTATGAAAAGTATGTTTCACACGTGACGGGATCTTCAACAGTTTCTATAGCCATGTATAGTTACACTCCAGTCCCATGCAATACGCTACGAGAAGCTGGTTAATCTGTAAGTTCTTGAGCTGCCATAGTAGACAGTCTTGTATTGTTGAACTACATTTGCTGCTAACTTTCCCGACATTCACGGTCGGTTTTTCTCCAAGATGAACAAACTGATTTCCTCAATGACGTACTCTTATCTTTATTACTTGCAATATGGACGATCGTGCAGAATCACATTTCATTCTCCTGTACGTGATTGATTAGCTTCGGAATATCTAGCTTGCTTGACTAGACAGAGGTCAAGTCGTGTGGTCGTCGTGACTGTCAGATTTAAGACTGTGAATTTCTTTTATGGAATCATCAGAAGGAAATGATATGAAAAAGATTATGTTGTTCTTCACGTTTTTTGCTTAATACAATAAACATTGATTAAAATCGATTGGAGTATTTCGACGGAAGAGTGTAAGTTTTATCATTCATGCATGCAAGTTAAAAGTGGGTTTTTTTTTTTTTTTTTTTTTTTTTTTTTTTTTTTTTTTTTAATCCAAAGGGATTTTAGTCCCGAAGGACTATTGCTTTCGTTTTGGCATTTTGCGTCGGACTCATAAACGTCGGTTCACTTTTCAAACTGTTGCCACAAAATGTTAGAGTCCTGCATTATATTTGAAGAAATTAAATAATGAAAAATCTGCATAAATGATTGTCTATTTCTCGCATTGTGATAAAACAATGGTACATAGAGCCATCGAATTTTGAATGACGAAATCCTATACTGCGAATATGGGCATCTGAAATCCCAAATTTGGAATTTGTTTTATATAAGATTTATATTTTTGTAAAACTTTAACGAATTTTTGATTTACAAACTCAATGCTTTAAAAGCGAGAAATGGCAACGTTTATATAAAAAAAAATACTTTTATCTCCAGCTCGCGAGACTGTGTATATCGGAAATTCTAAAGATATGCTTACTTTAACATTATTTTGCGATATTGCTCTTGAACTGAATTTTATGGTTTAAGTGCAAAGAACATGATATTTAATAAATAAAGGTAACACTCAAAACGTTAAAAAAACGCCCCTTTGGACGTAATTTAAAATCTGAAAAATTTCAGTTTTTTTTTTTTTTTTTTCATTATTGTATCGTCTTTGAAAACTAGGGTGAAACGTTAAATTCTTTAATTTTCATGCATGCGGGAAAGAGAAAAAATACACTGCAAATGTAATATACAGCATGCTGAGAACTTCATTATTATGTTGTTTAATGTAACAATGTACTAAAGTTCAAAATTTTTCAATTAAACTTCACAGTTTTTATATGTAACATAAGTATCTCACTGAATGCAACTTTCGATGTTACTTGCAGTTTCATATAACTGTAATATATCTTGAAATATATTATCCTGGGATACAGGTATTGTGATATTTTTGAATTACAAACGACTTTTAATGTGGTCTAGAAAGCAAGAATTCCTTCAAAATATATTACCTAGTATCGGTCAAATTATAATCATTTCTGACACATTCTTTCAAAGAACTTTCATTCGATATTCTATTTATCTGTGTTGGAATTGATGCTGTGTAAGTATTAAGATTAATGATAAACTAACCTTAAAAAAAATGAAATAATTCATTGAGAGCATAAATAAACCACACAGCTTTCAGCGCTGCATGTGAACAAAAAATGTTTCTCAGAATTTAATATTTTATCATTATTTTCCATTCATAGCGTAAAAATTTCGAGCAGTCACATTGGTTCTGAAATATAATATAAACAAAATAGTTATTTTTTTTTCTACATAACTAGAGATTATTTCTGAATTCTGATAGTTTATTAGTAACGATGAGAAAAGTCCCATTTTAAAGCATACCTTTTCCATTTTAAAAGCATAGTGGCTTAAAAGTTTTAGTTTTTGATTCCTTAGATGCTAACGATTTATAGTAGTTGTTTGACTATCAATGAATCTAATTGTAAAAATATTTGTCTGATAATTGCAGATCTCTGTTTCTGTTTCAGCAGAAGCAACAACAGCAACAGCAACAATTGGGTGCTTCCACTCTCTCCAATCGGCCATCGCCCTTTAACCAAGATACGTACAATGCTCATATAAATTCACTTCGCTCAGCGAACTATCTCAACGGATCGAACACGGGAATGACCAGCAGCAGTCCTAAAGCACCTAATACTGCAACAAATATTTTCAACTCTTTTGATCGTCGAATGAGTAATTTTCCCGGATCTGAAACTATGACTGCCTTCTCAACAAACTGTGAGCCAATGAGTCCAAACATATTTGAAGCGGAAATGCGTGCCAGAACTTCTGTTGCTATGTCTGAATCGGATCACGTTAAACAACAAAGATTGCAAATGGAATCTTCTTGCCACACCATTGATCAACAAAAACCTCCTGTGTATAACACAACCAGGCCTTTAACGCATTACTCTGAAAGTCGTACTATTAGACATCAGAATCCAGTTAACAATAATCAACAAATACATCAGCGTCCATCTGGTAGGCAGTTCCATAATAATGCTGAAATGCGATTGCAAATGACACAGTCACAGCATGTGCATCCTGGACAACACTCCACTCAACAGGTAAGACTTGAAACAGTAAAATCTCTGATTTGTTAGACGTCATTCAAATGTCACGATCTCTGATTTGTTAGATTTCATATATTATAAAAAGATCTTTCTAGTTTCAAAATTTATATTTAGCACTGTCTCTCTTATTTGCAAAAATCATGTTTTTTTTTTTTTTTAATATTTTGATTAATAGATAAAGAAAGAAACTGCATCAAAACAATTTACTGTTAATATTGCTTAAAAAATTCTCATACGTGGAGTTCTAGAGCAAGAAATTTTAAATGAGTCTAAAAACTATAGTTGAATCAAATAAATAATGATCTGGACTAAATAATTAATGCTCGAAACTATGCGTGGACTCTATGCCTGACAGAGCAAGCTCTAGTGATTTTGCCTCCTGGTGCAATCTCTGGGGGTCCTAAATTCTAAAATTTTTTGCCATGTCAAAATTTTGCTGTTCGGGGCGTCTCTATATTCTAAGCTTTTGCCACCTTAATTTCTGGCCCCATCCGATACGACCGCACCAGTTGCATTGCTTCTAGCGCCACCCCTGATGCCTGACAAAAAGGAATCTATCGTTGAAGTCTTCCAAAGTAAATTGATTTGTATTTGTATAACAAAACAAGTTTAAGAAATTGCTGTGTCTTTACCTACAGAATAGAATAAAAATAATTTCAATTAAAATTCAATATTTACTAACATCTGGTGTTCATATATCCGCTTACACTTATAATCATCTTGCCGATCGAGAGCTGAATGCCATTGAAAATTTGTCGTGATACTGACCAAAGTATAAGATGGCTTGAGCTTTTATGTGCGTTAAGTTCTTCTTTACCAAGTGCAAATGGCGGGAGAACTTGACGTGTACAAGGAATTTAGTTGCTTTCAGTTCTGATAAAATGAAAAATACAGCTAGCAGATCTTCGTAGTTCTATGCACTTCCTAAAAACTGATTTTAGTACAGCCAATGTTACTTTTGAAATTATCCTTAAAACGATTTTCTAAAAATCTTAATATTTCGGTGCATCCTTTGCTAAGTAAACGTATCCACGTGGCTGCTTTAGCATAGTCTTAATCTGAAACTTGCCTTTGATTACCTTATGATTTCTTATCAGGAGTTCTATTATTTCTTTCGCAAATCTTATTTGTTTCGAAAGAATTTCGATAGATCTGAAAGACTACGATGGATCCAACCTGATAGTAGTGCATTGTGTGGTGAAATGTAAATGCGAAAACTCCACGAAGAACGTGAAAAGATATTTTAATCAGGGATACGAAAAGAGACATCGATATTTGCAAGAGTTTTCCTAATGAACGATCAGCAACTGCAATACATACATCATAGATCTTCTTTAAGAGATGCAGATTGACTATTCTGAAGAATTTGTCACTAGAATTTTCATCGCTAATGTAGAAGTACGTGGAATGCCGGGTATACCAAGTGCTTTGTCGTCGTTATATTGCATGTATTGCAACTGTGGTCATTCATTTGAACAATTCTTTTTAAAGAACTTTTCGTTCTCCATATTCTTTGTGCTTACTGTGTTTCCGCGTTTACATTTCACATTCCCCATGCATTGTATTACAAAAATTATTTTTGTATCCTGTACAGGCTGTTTAAAAAATATCTGGAAAATTTAGAAGGAAGTGAAATAAGTAGATTTAATAATAGAATACAGATAGATAGGTGTGCAAAGATGATGAATTGACGTAGTACTGTTGAACGTGTAGGGAAAAGCGTTCTTCTGGCGTCAATCATTATTATTTGTCGAATTTGGAGCGGTATGTACCGCTACATGAACGTGGAGCTCGCCGACATACAATTTATATACGATTTCATGTACGAGCCTGCGGACGAAAGTGGTTTGGTTTATTGAGATTACGCCGAAGAACACTACGGCTACCTGCCTAAGGGGAAGGGATGCCTTCGTAGAGGACTTTCTAAGGGAAACTGGCTTGTATATACGTTACATATGAGGAAAACCACGAAAACACCCATGCAGCCAGCCCGTTCGCCATGGAATCGAACCCAGGTTGGAACTACCAGTGTCAGCGACTTCACCGCTCAGCCGCTGGTGTGCGGACGAAAGTGAAGGAGCTGCTCAAAGGAGGTACTGAGAAATATGTTCTTCATATGGCCTTTGATTAGCTGCTCCGTTTTAGTCAGGGCTCCGTAGATGAAATGTATATGCGTATTCATGTAGCGATGCTCGGAATTCGCAGGAGGATGAGGATTTACACCAGTAGAATGTTTTATCTACCGTTCAACAGCGCCCTGTATTACCTCAACACGCTATTTTCTACACACATATTCTATTACAAATTCTGCTTATTTTGTTCCCGTCTATCTGCTTTTACAATTTTGAAAAATATATTTTTAATCTCTGTTTTTGTGTATTATATTTATTCGAAAGTAAGGCCCCCTCTTTTTGCTATTATTTTTAATAAAAAATTTGGTAGTATCTTTTAGTCAGGAGTTTTAATAAATAAAAATGCCGAATGACAGGAAAGAATTGAATTATCTTTATAAAATAATTACTCTGTTAACTCTCATAACTTGGAAGAACTCCCCCAAACTTTTAGTAGTTCTGAATTTCTACTTTGTGATTGGCTTCTGCATAACAAGACAGTAGTATTCTGTATCGAATTCCAAACGGAGGACTTCCAAAGTTTTCATTCTAGTTTTAAACTAGATCGTTGCCGTAAAATTTGGATGTCCCCTTCAAATTTTACGGTCCCGTAAAGGAACCGTAACACCAAGGGAATTACACCAAGGTTAAATTCCCTTGGTGTCCCCTTCGCTTTATGAAAATATTTATTATAAACGTTGTGCAAAGCGATACAAGGAAAAAATAAGCGGTTTTATCTTGAATAATTAAATCTTTTCTCAATGAAGTAAAAGGGAAGGTCTCCATGTGCCTTTTGTTTAAGATGAAATGATATTTTAGAAATTCCCCTTCCCCGCCGTTTCGCATTGCTATTTTGAACCATTCGTTTTTAGTATATTATTTTATGTTCTTTACCTTGAATTTCTGAGAAATTAATTCTTAAATCTCTAAATCTGCCGTAGTTAAAAACGTTTCAAGGGCGTTAAAATCGAATTTGTATCTGAAAAACCAAGATCAAATTTAAATTTTAAATGGTAGACTTCCCCGCCTTCTCCATTTGCACTGTCGTCTAAAGTTTTCAGATTGCGTTTCTCATTTTTCAAAATTTTTCTGTTATATTTGTTGATAGATATGTTTAAGTTTACTGATCAGCTTAATTCTCTTCAGTGTTAATTAAGCTCTAGTTCTTAATTCATGCAGTGTTTATGCTTACTTATAATATTTCATACCAGGAAACAAAAATAGAGTTAACATTCGCTTTCAGAATTTGTTGTTGTTGTTTCTCATGGGCCATTGGAAGTTATTGTATGTGGTTGCTTTTCTTAAACTATATGTTCTAAATTTATCAACACTTCCTTACACATAAACAGATTGTGAGCTAATACAGTCCTGTTTTGTTCTCTGCTGTTAATAATCCAACAAAGTTTTTTTTTATTATTATTATTTTAAAGAGCAAAAAGAAATAATATAAAAAACAGTACATCAGTTGTTTTCGGGCGATCATCTGCTACTATCAGCGGTCTGTCAGTTGAAAACTTACGGAAAGGCTATTGGTTGCTTCAGTGATGACGTCATTTAGTCTCTCCGTTGAGGTCTCATCCAGATATCTCTGACCTAGAAAAGGAAGGATCCATTCCACGGTTCTTTCAAAGGGAATGAACATGTAATATAAACTTTAACGTTTTCCATATTAAAAAAATTGGAAGCTTTTGAAACAGCCTATGATTAACTTACTCTGTTTAGATTCACGTAATCCTTTTTGTGATAATAAATTGTTTATTAACGCTTTTGGCGGCTGTTTCGAAAACATTAAATTCTTGAGCCGAACTGCAAAACCACTAAATTTCGGTATTCGTAAGCTTTCTGTTGTAGATAAATTTAAATAAATTTGAAAGGACAGTTTTCTTGTATTAAATGGAATTTGTATTTGTCAACCTTAGAAAAAGAATTATTTTGGACGACTTCCAAAGACAAAATTTCTTTCTGTATTTTATAGATTTAGTTTTTCAAAAGCAACGTGAAAAATACTTTTTCTTAATAACTTAGTTTTAAAGAAATTTATAAAGCGATATATAACTTCTATTTATTTTATTTTTCAGTTTCAAGCTCCTGCTTTATTTAACCATTATTTCCTTCCCCCGCCACAACCACAAGTTTTCAAACAAAATTTCAGAACTTTTTACGTGATTAACAATTTGAAATCTCTCTGCTTTAACATTTTACAGCTATTCTAGGAGGTTTTAATGCCGCTAATAATTTCAGCAGTTTTTCATGGAAGCCGCTTTCTATTTCTTTCGATTTCAAATTAATTAGAACTTCTAAACTAATATTTTTATTTTAAAAGATTTTATAATCATTACGTTTATAATATAACACCTTCTTTCTAAATCATACTCTATAATAACTCTGTTTATTCAGCTTCTATTACATACATTAGTAATATATTATTAAAGAGAAAATATTCAAGTATTTTTATAATCAGGCTTCCGAATACACATATTTTTGTTTCTTGGTCTGTGTTTTCTTCATATGTGGTTATTTTTAGCATATACTGTAAAAATCAGAGACGTACTCATAGTATAAAAATTCATTTTCAGTATTATTTTCTCATTTGCAAAAGAAAATATTAAAATAAAGTCTTGCTGGATATTTATTGGAAAATTTCGCTTGAAATGAGAACTCGGAAACTTTGCATTTTTTCTTGAGGGAAAAAAAAAAAAAAAAAAAAAAATTAGATACTTTTCTCTGCTATGAGTGAATAGAGTCTTGATAAATTTAAATAACTGTCTGCGTTTTCGCTTGGTTATTTGGGTTATCTTAAAGGTGTTTATTTAGGATTAGCTTGTAGTAAGAGTGTTATCATAGCATACTGATATACTAATGTCGGCAAAATCTTTACCTGCC